GTGGAGATGATATTGAACATACAGATGAAAAAGGAAAACCATCTAAAACTAAAAATAAACGTGAATTTAAATTACTCGATGCTGAAGATTGGATTAATGAAAATGAAGATGGTAAATAATAAAATAGAAATTAGAAGAATAAATTTTTTTTGGTTTATATTGATTTTAGATGAAGATGATGATGAAGGTGATGATAATAAATCAAATAAAAAGTCAAAAACAAAGAAGACAGATAGTACAAAGCCAAAAGAATCATGGACTTTAAGTGATGATGATGATGAAGATGAAGCAAGTAAAAAACCAGTTAAAAAAGCAAAGACTTCTAAACGTCGGAATAGTGAAAATCAAGGAGAAGATTCCGATGATGGTGATCATGAAGGTGAGTTGAGATTTTAGACTCTATTGAAATATCCATAACTTTTGTTTTAGGTGATGAAGTTGAATATACAAGTGATGAATCATCTGATGAAGATGATAGAGGTAGATATATTATTTCTTTGTATTGAAATTTTATTATTATTTCTAGATGCCAATACAGCTGGAGCATCAATGAAGTATGAAGTTAAAGGTGTTGATGAAGAGGTGAAAAATATACCAGATATGGAAAAAAAACTTGAACAAATGGATGAAAATCCCGATGGATTTGATTTTGATGATGATGATGAAGAAATTCCTGATATTGGTTAGAATTAAAAAACAGAATATTAGATTATAAAGAATAATTTATTTTAGAGGATAATGATGAAGAAAATGATAAAACATCAGCTGCTGATTTAGCAGATGTTGGTAAAATGTTAAAAAGTGATGCTGTTAGTAAAGGTACATATATATGACTATATGAAAATGATACTAAGATTTCAATTATTTTATTTTAGACTTGGAATCAAGTTCAGATGATGACGATCTTGATGATTCTGATGATCCCGATAAAGAACCGGCAGATTCACTTGCTGTAAATAGATTAACATTATTTATTCTTAATCTTTAAATATAACACTTCTTTCATTTAGATTCCAACTGGTAATCAACCAATTCCATCTGAACAAGTTAAAACTGGTATGTTAAACAAATCTAAACGATATAAACAAGTAGAGAGGATTGTTTTTCTTCAGATGAGTTTATGTATTTATTCTCTTTCTCGTAGAGAAGAGTCCAGTAAGAATAAATTGTTTGCTTGCTTGCCCGTCCGCAGGGTCAAAAAAACATCGAAAATCGATTTTTCGAAAAAGACATTTCTAGAGGTATTTCGATGCAGGGATTTTGAATCTGATGTTGGTGTTTGCCAGAGATGGGCAACTCCAACTCGGAGTTGAAGTTAACTCCGGAGTTGACACTTTAACTCCTTGGAGTTGGAGTGGAGTTAGATCAAAATTCAGAAAAACTCAGTGGAGTTGGAGTGGAGTTGATGTCTGTTTGAAGTGGAGTTGGAGCAGAATTTTGAAAAACTGGGTGGAGTTGGAGTGGAGTTGTTGTCTGTTTGGAGTGGAGATGGAGCGGAGTTGGAGTTGAGTTTTGCAAAAATGGGTGGAGTTGGTTTTCGTGATTTTTTCCAACTCCGATTTAACTCCTGTTGACTTAATTTATTGAAATAAAGATGTCAAAGTTCTATAGATGAAACGTAAATTGATAATCATGCTTTTACTTATTGGTGTCAAATAACAATATTTCCTGATAAATCTGTATTTTTTTACAATCGTATTGATAAAAAATCTACCTATTAAATCGGAGTGGAGTTAGAAAGAGTTGGAGTTGGAGTTGGAGTTTATTTTTAGAGAATTGGAGTGGAG